GTAAAAAGTAGAAAAGATAGAACTTAGACAGTAGATACTTAGGCCGATAGCCACTTAAACAGGTAGATAGTTAGACAGGTAAACAAAAAGACTATTAAACAGGTAGATCACAACCAAATATTTATTGATTAAATCGATCATTTACTTACACTGATTTGCGCATATTGTGAAATTCACGCAACTTGCTTCAAAGCAAAATGCCCCTAACACCTAGTTGAAACTCTCTAGAAAAATTTAAATAAATGTGAAATATTTTAAATTATTTTTTAGCCAATTGCAGATATAATTATTAAATTGAGACAACATAGTGAACTGTATAATAAAATGAAACTGGAGAATGAAAATGAACTGCCTAAAACCTGCTGCTTGTTAATCTAATACAGTAAACGAATGAGGTGCCGTGCAATATTACCAATCCTTTCTCATAATTTTGTGAGATTATAAAATGTTATAAACATGAGTGTATGAGGTTGGACTGAAAACTTTTCGATCTAACAATGATACAAAGATTTTTTATTAATTTTTTTTATTTATGTTTCTGCATTAACTCTTTGTAACTATACGCACTTTTTCCGGTAATGCTGTTATCTTCATACCCCTAAATAGTACTTGCCAAATTTTTGTGCAAAAATTGTTCATAAAAACAATTATCCTCGTTTGACAAAAATGTTTGTTCTCGAAAGCTGTTTTTAGATGAGGAAAAAGGCTAGATCTGGTGAATAAGGTGGATGGTCAAGCAGTTCCAACCGTTACTGGTGGATGTCTTGGCAAAGACAGCGGCGCGTTTTCTTGATGAAACAGAATTTTTATTTTTGAAAATAATCGACTAAAATAACTCCATGACTATTCCAGAAAACAGAATCCATCACAATCCTATAAAAAATAACACTTTTTGTTCTTTTTGTAGTTGTTTGCCCTTTGCAGTCCACTGTTTTGACTGTAGTTTTGCTTTAGGCGTATAATGCTGAATCCAAGATTTAAGGGGGGGATACATGTAACAAGAAAAAAAAAACGATTTTTTTTTTTTTCATAAATCGTTACAATAACATCTCAAAAATATGCCTGCAAAAATTCAAAACAAAATTATCATTATTTATACCTTAAAACTCATTTAAGTGCCACGCCTCAACTCGACGCTCGAGTGCAATTGTACTCTTATCTGTTTCTGTGTCAAAACTTTAAACGCGTTTTTCTCAAAACGACATTTTTGAATACTGCGGGCGTGATAACTCAAAAAGTTCTCAACCGATTCCATGAAATTTTGCACACATCTACTTTACAGTAATAGCTTCTAGTTAAACCTCAAACATTCCAAAAAAAATTTCAAAAATTAACCTTTTTACCAAAAAAAACAGTGAAAAAATGGTGAAAAATCGAACTTTTTTTTTCTGAGGTCTGCCAATTACGATTTT